ATTGTGACCTGCTTTGTAAACGGATGTTCAGATCTGTACAATGTAATGTCAAACTGCATTAAATCCGTGGCAATGATAGGTGCTCGTTATTCAAACTGTGTTTCTACTGGCATGTCTTATTTATGCTTCAGCTTCTTTAGAGATGTTTTAGATATATCGGTTCCTTTGCAAGATCTTGCACTTTTGAACAATTCTATTTTTAAATGACCTTCAAATGTACTGTGGAAATTTATGGCTCGAAAGTATGAATGCAAGCCTAGCACTATTTTAACGCTAACATAAAATACTAACATTTATGCTCAACATAAAAAAAAATAATCAATGTTTTAACGGTTTGATATCTGTCATTCACTTACTGGGTTTAATAGCTATCTCTAGTATATCAATATTTTGGGAGAATCACTGTTTTATTTATTTATTTGCTTTATTTCTATACCTCATTTTTCAGCCTGATAAGGCATAAGTACCCTAAAGGCACGACTTCCTTTTTCATTTTGGAAGCTAGGCTGAGATAATACTCGGATGGGCATTGGCTATCAAACACCAGGTTCTGTAGGCTATATTTCAGGGGAAAGAACCGGAGAAAGCATTCCTGAGTATTGCACACTCATCAGCATTTCATCAGCTGTTGTATGAACAGTTGAAAATATTTTAGTTTGAGGTCAAGCAGCGCAGTATGGTACATTTCCTTTTTCCTTGGCCTGTGAATATGACTTCATATATGCACACAGAGAATGCATGATTCAGAAATAATGCAGCTTGAAATCACTTTGATTGCCATGATACAGTGTTATGAAATCATGTGAGCTGAAGTTTTACAAGGGCATTCGCCTTCTCTGCCAAAGACTCCCAGGTTTCCATAGCACTATACCATTGCAATTAAGTTTTATAAGGTCTTTAGCTTTCTCTGCTAAAGAGTGCTGCGGGCTCAACAAACTAAAAATTCCAAGATTCCATGGCATTTAATCATGGCAAGAAAAGTGCTGTCAAACTGCATTAATTCTACAGGGTAGATGTAGAGTTGGAGTGGCAGTGGAGCCTAGATAAAATCATAGAATTATAGAGTTGAAAGAGACCCCGTGGGCCATCCAGTCCTGTCCCCTGCTAAGAAAAAAAATCGCATCCTGGACAGATGGCCATCCAGCCTCTGTTTAACAGCCTCCAAAGAAGGAGCCTCCACCACACTCTGCGCCAGAGAATTCCACTGCTGAATGGCTCTCGCAGTCAGGAAGTTCTTATTCATGTTTAGGTGAAATCTCCTTTCTTGAAGTTTGAAGCTATTGTTCCATGTCCTAGTCTCCAGGGCAGCAGAAAACAAGCTTGCTCCCTCTCCCCTATGACTTCTCCTCACATATTATTACATGGCTATCATATCTCCTCTCAGCCTTCTCTTCTTCAGGGAAAACATGCACAGCTCTTTAAACTGCTCTTCATAGGGCTTGTTCTCCAGACCCTTGATCACTTTAGTCGTCTTCCTCTGGACACATTCCAGCTTGCCAACATCTTCTTTTAATTGCAGTGGCCAGAATTGGACACTGGGTGATTTCTGGTGTGGTCTGACCAAGACAGAATGGAGGGGTAGCATGACTTCCCTGGATTTAGACACTACATTCCTATTGATGCAGGCCAAAATCCCATTGGCTTTTTTAGCCGCCGCATCACATTGTTGGCTCATGTTTAACCTGTTGTCCACGAGGTAGTCCATCTTTATGGTGGATCACTGGCTCCTTCTCCCCATGAGTTTATGTAGCTTAGCACAGCCTTGGAGAGAAACAGGTAGTGGCAGTAAATTGTTTTAAATGACTCAGGTGTTATTTTCACTCTGGTTGGGTGGAGTGCTAAGTGCCTGATCTTGTGTGCACTCAGAACTCCATTGTAGAACAGCACCTCCCCCCCCCCCCAACATGGTCTGTGGGAGCTAGCTACATGTTTTATGTGTGTGTGTTTTCTTATATATTGGGTTCCTTGTCATTTGTCATAATTTTGAGGATGGTTGGCATGGGTCTTGAATCCAGGACATCTATTACACAGGTCTCTGTCGCTAATAATAAGGTTCCCATTTGAGATTCCGGGGCTATGGCATGCTATTGGTGTGACTCAACTTGATAGGAGGAATATGTGGGAGGCATCCACCTAGATGGATCCATCCTGTCATCTCAAAAGTTAAAGGAAGTGAGCTGGAGAGCTGGTTTCATCAATCAACAGGGGGCTTAGTCAGTCCTAGATCTGGACCCATGCAGGGCCAAACAACCGTAGTAATTAATAAAAGTTCTGTCCTCTCTCTTAAGTGTGGAATGTTATTTTGACAAAGCAGTTCTTGCCCCTGAACATACAAATGATTTTTATTTGCATAACATCCATTATGAATCTAAGCTGTTAAACATTACATTTTGTAATGATTCTAAATTCAATATACAAATATGCATAACTTTCTTTTCACTTCACGGGCCCTCTGCCATTTAATTTAACTGATTGATTAAAAAGAGCAGAATTCTAATAGCTATGCTAATCCTCTTAAAGGAAACAAAGGGGAGGTGAAGTGATACTTCTTTTAGATTAATTATTATGTTCCAAAGAAGAGAAGCACATTTAAGCATTCAAAGGAAATGTCAAAATACTTAATGTTTTATGCTCAGCTTCATATTACCATAGAAAATACAAAGAGTGATCTTAAAAAGGGGTGTGTGTGGTGATGATTTAAAGGTTAAACAAACAAACAGAAAAATTAAAGTTTCCGACATTACAAACCATCTGAGCCAGCTGGACAAATTAGACTGTACAAGTTCCTTGCCTTAGGAATACATTTAAATTTTATAGTGATGCTAATGAGCCTATTAGATACTACTTCTGGGGGAAAACAAGGAGTAAGGTTGGCGGGAAAGCTAGGCCCCTTCCACACAGCTGTATAAAATCCACACTGGACTCAGTGTGGATGCAAATAATCCAGTTTAAAGCCGATATTGTGGATTATCTGGCTTGATGTTCCATGTTATATGGCTGTGTGGAAGGGCCCCTAGAAAGAAAAGATCAGGGTATGGTCCACAGGAGGGGAAAAGGGTGTTGGGGAAGAAATGACAATGGATACATCAGAAAGATTAGAAGTGACATGTGAAAGTCACTGAAGGGGAAGAATATTGACAAAATCTGTCAGGGGTGCTTTGAATGCGATTTTCCTGGTTCTTGGAAGGGGGTTGGACTGAATGGCCCACAAGGTCTCTTCCAACTCTATGATTCTATGATCACATTCTAGTATTGCTACTATTCAGCTATTATTTCTGATTTATTTCTTTGTTCCACTGCAGTTCTGACATTCCAGCAGGCATGTGGTATGACTGGGCAAGTTTCTCCTTTCTCTTTTTTACTTCTCTGACCTCACAACCTCACATTGCTTTATTCTCCAAGTTTATGTCATTTTAAAACTTTTGTTTTGCCATAATAGCAGCATTGTGCTACCATGGGCGACTTGCCAACATGCTGCAATAAAGCAATTGTGGCAGAACCCACCATTTGTGAAAAACACTGAACCTGAGTGGTTGTGCAATTGCAGCATAAAAAGAAGAAAAAATAACAGCCAGCAAGATCATGTAGAAGAGTGATTGTGAGAACATGCATCATTGAAGCAGCACAATTGCCTGTTGGAGAGAATGTATGAAAGTATTGTTTCTATACATATGTTTGCATTTTCATAAACAACTATGAGATAAAGGCTGGTGTCATAAAACCCTCATATCATCAGATGGTGATGTAAATATTCTATCCCCTCCCTCTTCCCATATGTTCTTATTGTTAGAATGGTAGCATGCTTGCTGGTTCAGGAATTATATGAATCCAAATTAAACCAGTAATTTAATTTGCTTTTTCTTTTTTTCTTGGTGAATTACTTTTATTTGTGAGTTTTTCGGGCTATGTGGCTATGTTACAGAAGCATTCTCTCCTGATCTATGGCTTCCAACAGACCTCAGAGGTTGTGAGGTCTGTTGGAAACTAGGAAAATGGGGTTTATATATCTGTGGAATGTCTGACATGGTAGTTGTTCGAGGGTTGTTTATTTGAATCACTGTACTCTGTTTGCTTGAAACAACTTGTATTTACACTCACTCCAACAATGTAGATTATTATTCTAGCAGTGAATGGCAAGCAAGAGCATAGGAGAGCAAACACATGAACTTGTCACAGCTTTTGGTGGAAAATAGCCACATGTTTCCACAAAAAGCTGTAACATCTTTGAAATGAAATCTGTATGTGCTTGTCTTGGTATGAAGCAATTGATCTGGGAACACTCCTATTATCTGATATACTAAGTCCCTTTGAATGCCTGACAGGTGGCAATCCTGGCATAATATCTGTAAGAAGCATATGGTTGCTCATCACTGTGCAATTTTCTTGCCATCTAGGGCCAAGTCCAACTGGACCTGCTCTAGTAGTTTGCATCCCAAAGGTCCCTTAAAGGGACCACTACCACCAATAAGAGAAAAGTCAGAATGTAGGCTCTGTCTCCTTAAAATTATATCTCATCCTATGCCATGCTGCTCTAGTAGTTTGCATCCCAAAGGTCCCTTAAGGGGACCACTACCACCAATAAGAGAAAAGTCAGAATGTAGGCTCTGTCTCCTTAAAATTATATCTCATCCTATGCCATGCTGCTCAAATTGTGATATATAAGCAGCTAACAAATCAGATAAACTCTTTGCATGCTAAGTAAACCTTATAAAACAAGTTTGAAACAGAATTGGTGGGGTGCTGATCAAACACTGACTGCCAAAGGATTACCAAGGGTTTCTTTCTGTCCTCAGACTTCAGTGGGGAAAGCCAACACACTCATCTCAGCCACCAATTGGCTGTATATCCAGTTAAATACACTCGGAGAAAAAATGATGGTTTCCTGCAATTCATGCCACCCACATTCTCACAACATGCCATCCATTTAGTTAGTGCATTCCACTGACTAATCTAACACAAAAGAATAACAACACACATAAAAGTTATAACAATTTCTTAAATATTAGTAAGCATAAAATATTTTATTGTTACTCACATCATGTGCAGTTTTGTATTTCATATGCAGTTTGTAATCAACTCATAAGGTTCACAATTAGAAAAGTTATGCCCTCATTGGTTCCCATTGTTCCATTCCTGCTTTTGATTAATGACTTTAGTATTGAAGTATCTGTTCCATTCATGTAGATTCCCTGTGCAGGATAGAGCCAAGATTATGAAAACAGATTGGCAAGTATTTGCCCATGTAGAAGATGACAGAACTGAGTAACCAGAATGCAAGGTGGGGTTGGACCAACAATAATGCTCTTGTTCTCCTATTCACATGGTTATCATTGTGTCAAGGGTAAACGCATGGACAGGGTTTAACATCAACTTATACATGTCATATGTAATGATCCCATTTTATAAATGTTGAGACTCCAAGGTATGTCAAGTTTAAGAGGCTCATATTATCATGGGATAGATTTTCTGTTGTTCTAATGTAATTTTTAATCTTTATTCATTAAGAAACACTTCTGAACCTCAGGCCCTAAGCTTCATTAACTTAAGTCTGTGCATAAATCTGACATAGAAGTTAATCAAGTCTTGACTGTTGGTAAGAAAGAATTACACATCTCAGGTCTGTGTTTTGGCATTCCTGCTGCCCATCTTCTGAAGTCGCATTCTCGTTGGCTCAGTCATCACTAGTGGTTCTTGGATAATAGTGGCTGGATATTTTTCCCCTAGCAGTTCAACTTCCAGCTTCTGCCCAACTTTGCTGAGTTCCACAGGGACGTACGCAAAAGCCAAACTTTGGCGAGTCCTATAGCTGTAACATCCAGACGTGGTGTTGCCAATAACCTGAAAGTTATGCAGATATCAACACTTTTCAGTGTATGAAAGCCTACACAATTGGTGCAATTTGTGGAAATAAATACGTAACCTCTAATAAAATCAAATATATGACTGTGCAGCAAGATTTAATTTGATATGTTTAGCTCTATCAACAACAAGAACAAAAAACCAGGAAGATCTTAGCACAGAAAATAGATGGTGACATGGCTTTTCACTAAATCAGCTTGTGCCCCAGAAAACACATGGCACACATATCTTCTGTACTTGAGGACCAATCATGATTCACTGTAATTGGATAATCTATCTTGCAAACATAGACAATTAGTGTCAGGATGTGTAAATTACCTTGCATTTCTTAAGTGATAACAGGATTCAGACCTCTGGCCTAAGCATATGTGTGTTGTGCCACTGTAACTAGGGTATGGAAGCTGATGCAATAAGGGAGGTATAAAAGTTGTGTTCTCCCTGATAAGCGTGGATGAGGGATGGATAGTGGTTGTTGGAGAGAGTTGTTGTTGAGTGGAGAGTGGAGAGTGGAGAGTAGAACTCTAAAGTTTGTATATATTGTATATGCTGTATATATTCCTGAAACTAAAGAAAAGAAAAGCATCCCTGCATATTTTTTTGAAATAACAACTGTGTCTGTGCCTTCTACACCTATCTGTGGGTATCTGGTTTCCTAACAGGAATTTTTAGAGTCCCTTCCACACTATCCATTGTTTTATTATTGTATAAAACCTATGATGGTAGTATGTTCCCCAATTGCTAAATACAGCTTTTAGAATTTTCCCCTCTCCATATACAAACCATTCAGCTACACCATTCAATTACACTGTAACAAGAGTCTTGTTACAGTTGTAACTGACAGCTATTAATTTGGAGATTTGAAGATATATATACAGTCCCATCTCCTTATAAAATTTTGACTAAAGAAGTTTCACAAAATATATTATTCAACTTAAACAGGTACTTGATTTTGAATAAATATACCAAGATGTGGAATGCAAATGGATGTGGTATGAATTGTGGATCCTTTGTCCTGTGAGGGCCAACAAAGGACTATATGGAAAATGATTGACAGGCACACATTTCAGAGGGATAGGCTTTTAATCTGTTGCAACAAACACTTTCAAATTCTAGTCCCAAATAGAGTACACCCATGAAAATCAGTGAAATTCAAATAAGTGGTGGTTCTAGATATCACTAAGTCCCCCAGCGCAATTTTATAGTATGTTTTAATTGGAAGCCCAAGGCAGCGACTATTTCAGATAAGTGCATGATTAAAGGTTTCTCAGTTGAAGCTTTAGCAGCTATCCTTTTTTTCCAAAACAAGCCAAATCTTTCAAAATCAAATTATCACAAGGACAGAAAGTGAAGTAAAATCTTCTGAACAGGGGCACTGACAGCAAAACAGATACCACAGAGGTACTAGCCCTTGCCTATGCTATCCAAAAATAGAGATATTTGGTTGGAATTACACTTAAAAATGTACCTGTTCTGGCTTACCGTATATTCCGGCATATAAGACGACTGGGCATATAAGACGACCCCCAACTTTTCCAGTTAAAATATAGAGTTAAGACAACTCTCATGCATAAGACTACACCCACGTATAAGACGACCCCTGACTTTTGAGAAGATTTTCTTGGGTTAAAAAGTAGTCTTATACGCCAGAATATACTGTACATACAAATTCAGCTTAAGACCAAACCTGCAGAACCTATCTTGTTCATAACTTGGGGACTGTCTGTATATCCATATCATCTTTCTTTCATGAGAAGACAAAATGCGCTCACAGCCCTGCCCTTCCTTGCTTCAGTATTCTGAAATAAAATATCTGCTACTTGCCTTGTTGTTATACCAGACACTCTCATTTCCTTCTGGATCAACATTATCTGTTTTCAAGGTGAGATACACAAGCTGCCGTTCAAGCCCTTTCTCTTTCATCTCTTTCAGTGCTTGCTTTCCTATGAAGTCTGCTGGCTGGGAAAAGGGAAACAAGGTAACGATGACAAATGATTAGTGAGACTTTGTGACAAGGTTATAGATGCAGGCTTTTAAACGTGTCTTCACTTGTTGTCCTGTCAATTAAGCTTTGGACAAAAGTACAAATTAAATCAAGCCTTTGCATTTCATGAATGTTATTTCATCTTATCCACAAAGTGAGCGTGTTAATCTAACTCACCTCATATGTTTTTACATCTGTCTGACCTTTAGGATTTATACATTCCAATTTGATTTTTAAAAAGAGATTGTACTTAAAAGGACCTCTGCAGTTTTCTCTTAGCTTTTTATTTGGAGAAGTGGCTGTAAAGTCACTTAGACAAAACTGTGAAAAGAATGCAATGATGCAACCATGTATCAATGGGTGATTGTGTTCCTGAATTTGCAGAGGAAACAGTAAACTGTGGGTAACAGAAAAACCTTATTGAAATGAAAAACTTCTACCAGAGGTTAGCATTAAGACACTCAAAAGGGGGGAAAAAAAAACATTTCCGGAGAACACATATTTTGTGGGATGCTGGTAGACGGAACTACCCATTGTGTCACCATGAGCTCCTGGTATCATACTGTACTTCTTTTAAAAGATTTTTCCTAATAAGCTCTTTGGAATGGACTATAATAATTGCAACAAATCATAGGAACTAAAGGGGAAACTGCATGTTGAAATTCCCAGATTTTGCCTCTACTATCTCCTCCATAGATGTGTGTGTGGTCCAGATGGTGTTGAACTGCAACTCCTGTTGGCTATGCTTTCTGAGGCTACTGAGATTTTCAGTCTAACAACTAGAAGATCATAGAATTCATGATGGGAAAGGATCCCAGGAACTGGTAAGAAAAATGGCTCTCTTGAATCCAAAGGAAACCATTTTCCGCTGATGAGGTGAGTACTGAGTTGGATGGACTAATGATCAGATAAAGGTAGCTTCTTATTGCCACAGGTGTTAAACAGAGATGTGCTATTGCCCCTATCTTATTCTCCTTCTTCATCACTATGATACCACACCTTTTGATGGGAAGGTTCCTGTGCAGGTACAGCTGTACCAGGAGCTCCAATGTTGTTTGCTTTGCATTGAATGTTTGTTGTAGTCCTGCAGATAGGTGACTTCTTTTGGCTGCAATCATAGGGCAAGTCACCTGTCAATTATAGTTAGGTTCCCTGGTCCCACCCCCTTTTTAGGTTTTTGGAGGGAATAGGAGCCTTTTTGGGTCAGGCCACACAGAGAAGCCTTTCATGCAGGACATAATACCAAGAGCTCCTGAAGAAAGCTTCGTCTTCTCCGGCTTGGCCGGGGAGATATACAGCCTACAGCTTGACCGGGGTTATTCAGCCCTGCAGCTCCTTCGCTGAGGGACTTCAGTCAGCCATCACTGAAACCTGAACTCTCTTTTCCCTGGAAGTCTACAAAGCTCTGCTTGGTAAGGGTCACTCGCAGAAGCCAGAAGCAGTTCGTACCGGATGCAGGGACTCCACACCAACAGAGGCAAAGACAGACTGCCCAGATTAGAAGTTAAGGATTTCCCTATTAGCTAAAATACAGTTTATGAAGATAGTGCCTGTTCCCTGTGGACAAGATTGAAAGAGAGCCAATAGACTATTAAGAAAGCCTTAAAGTACCTGTTTGTTTTCATTAATAAAGAACATTGTTAAACCTTTAAGCAATCTAAAGACTCTGTTTTAAGGAAATCCAAGGGGCTTAAAGCCAGCCTTAAAAACTATGGCATAGACACTAAGAACTGGAAAGCCCTGGTCCTTGAGCATTCTAAGTGGAGGTCAGCTGTTACCAACAGTGCTGTGGCATTCGAGGAGGCACAAATGGAGAGAGAAAGGGAGAAACACATAAAGAAGAAGGTGCATAAAGACAACCCTGACCAGGACTGCCTTCCACCTGGAAACCAATGTCCTCACTGTGGAAGAACATGTAGGTCAAGAATAGGTCTCCACAGTCACATATGGACCCAGCGCCAAGACCCTGCACTTGGAAGGCCACCCTACTTGGCGATGACACTATGTAACACAAATTTTGTTCCTGGGTTATAAATGTCACTTCTTAATTGTTTCTATCATAAAAACATGGAAAAATATTAAACTGCAAAAACTGTGTTTTTGTGAGAAATCCTACAGCACATTTTGAATATCTCATAGAGACTGAACCAATTCAACATCGTTTGTGGTAGCCACAAGAATGAAGTTTTTGGAGTATAACAACTACTTTCAAAGTAAGTACTGCACAATTAAACAGGAAATAACACTTTCAAACCAGAACGGAAAATTTCAAATTTTGTTACATAGTGTTATTATGAGTTCATTTTTGGAAAAATAGGTAGAATATAATCTTATGAAATAAAAAATGCACTATGTTTGGGTCTCAATCTTTCAGTGATTAGATCTCCATTGGTTGATGGAGAAACAAAACATAGGAGATAGTGTTACATCCTGTTGCTAGTAGTTCCATAAAGTTTAAATAATCATGACCTGCTCCAACAGGCTAGCTTGGTGTAGAAGCCTGTGATGTGCAAAGTGAACTTTACAAGAAAGAGATAATGAAAAAAATGGGTAAAAGAGAAGGGGGAGAGTAGGAAAAAAGTGAAAAATGAAGGAATTTGAGAGAAATAAGTGTTGCAAAGCACCGGGAGAGGAGATGTGGGTATGAGGTGAAGAAGTACTGCTCCCGTTCTCCAAGAACTCTCAAAGATGGTTGCCAATGGTTCCGAAATGACTTCTGCTAGTTCCTTCAATACTCTGGGGTGTAGTTGATCTGGTTCTAGTCCCCAGGGCCAGATCAACTACACCCCAGAGTATTGAAGGAACTAGCGGGAGTCATTTCGGAACCATTGGCAACCATCTTTGAGAGTTCTTGGAGAACGGGAGAAGTTCCAGCAGATTGGAGGAGGGCCAATGTGGTCCCAATCTTCAAGAAGGGAAAAAAGGATGACCCAAACAACTACCGTCTGGTCAGCCTCACGTCGATACCGGGCAAGATTCTGGAAAAGATTGTTAAGGAAGCGGTCCTGGATTTCAGTAAGGCCTTCGACAAGGTCCCCCATGACCTTCTGGCAAGGAAACTAGTCCAATGTGGGCTAGGCAAAACTACGGTGAGGTGGATCTGTAATTGGTTAAGTGGACGAACACAGAGAGTGCTCACTAATGCTTCCTCTTCATCTTGGAAAGAAGTGACAAGTGGAGTGCCGCAGGGTTCCGTCCTGGGCCCGGTCCTGTTCAACATCTTTATTAATGACTTAGATGAAGGGTGAAGGCATGATCGTCAAGTTTGCAGACGACACCAAATTGGGAGGGATAGCCAATACTCCAGAGGACAGGAGCAGGATTCAAAACGATCTTGACAGATTAGAGAGATGGGCCAAAACTAACCAAATGAAGTTCAACAGTGACAAATGCAAGATACTCCACTTTGGCAGAAAAAATGAAATGCAAAGATACAGAATGGGTGGCCTGGCTCGAGAGCAGTACGTGTGAAAAAGATCTTGGAGTCCTCGTGGACAACAAGTTAAACATGAGCCAACAATGTGATGTGGCGGCAAAAAAAGCCAATGGGATTTTGGCCTGCATCAATAGGAGCATAGTGTCTAGATCTAAGGAAGTAATGCTACCCCTCTATTCCGCTTTGGTTAGACCACACCTGGAATATTGTGTCCAATTCTGGGCACCACAATTCAAGAGAGATATTGACAAGCTGGAATGTGTCCAGAGAGGGCGACTAAAATGATCAAGGGTCTGGAGAACAAGCCCTATGAGGAGCGGCTTAAGGAGCTGGGCATGTTTAGCCTGAAGAAGAGAAGGCTGAGAGGAGATATGATAGCCATGTATAAATATGTCAGAGGAAGCAAGCTTGTTTTCTGCTTCCCTGGAGACTAGGATGCGGAACAATGGCTTCAAACTACAAGAAAGGAGATTCCATCTGAACATGAGGAAGAACTTCCTGACTGTGAGAGCCGTTCAGCATTGGAACTCTCTGCCCCGGAGTGTGGTGGAGGCTCCTTCTTTGGAAGCTTTTAAACAGAGGCTGGATGGCCATCTGTCAGGGGTGATTTGAATGCAATATTCCTGCTTCTTGGCAGGGGGTTGGACTGGATGGCCCATGAGGTCTCTTCCAACTCTTTGATTCTATGATTCTATGATTCTAAGAACTCAAAATGACCTGACAGAGATGGTTGGAGGGAAAACTGAACAGGAAATATTTTTGAAAACAAGATGTTCAAGTACAGAGAGACACAGAGATGCCAAGTACAGACAGGAGAGAAGGAAAAGATTTGGATTGCATGTATGACTCAACCTGACACGATAAAACCCATGATGCAGGGCAGTCAAGTGTGGTCCTCCACTTTTGCAATTTGCAACCATCCCTTAGTATTTTCTGAAGGCTGAATTATTGTATTTTTAGTCTGTGTGTTTCTAGTTTCTGATTGGGAATAGAGACTTGAGATAGGTGGGCACTGTGCTTCAACACTGGGAGTTGTAGGACAAGAACAGTGATCCATATAGCTGTGTTATGTTCCTTAGCCCCTGACACCTGAGGCAGTTCCATATCTCTCTCTAATAATAGAACTGGCTCTATGAAAATCTGTGGTGTAAGGGGCATTTGGTATATAGAGTTAAACAGAAGTCACCTTATCAGGAAACAATGTAGAACTTCTACTGGTTATCTAAGCAGGGCTGGGATGAATGCCTATACTGCAGGTTCCTATGCTGTAATTTGTATATTTTAAGTTGCAAAGAGTGACAATTGCTAGAATCAAGATGTTAAATGTCACAGGAATTAGTGGGATGCGTAAATCCTAGCCCACAAGCATACAGACTTACAGAGATCAGGCCGATCATTTAATCTCACAGCAAGCCTTCCTCACCCGAGAAATACATTTTTGTCCTGTTACTCTGAACAACATGTTGCTGTGTGTGCAGCAGTCATAATTAATTACCACTTTGCCTCACAGCTCCTGGATTCAGCCCCAGAAAGGCTTTA